AGCCAGAACCACCCATCCACGCTGCCTAGATTCCAGTCCCTCACAAACAGTAAGAGAATAAATATTTGTTGTTTTAAACTGCCAAGTTTTGGGGTAATTTGTTACAAGCAATAGATAACTAATACAGTAATTGTCTCAAACTTCTACATACTTGATTTTAAAGGCTGTCTAGCCTAATGCATTTCCTGTACATATTTAATCACAAAATAGCCAAAGAGGGTTAGGGCGGCTCCAATTAGAAATTGGGGACTATTTTCAACTCTCTACTTTGATACTGAAGGTCTGTAATAATCATAATGGCTTCAAGATGAAGCAATTCATAGACTGCTACTTGGCATTTCCTTATCAGTTAACAGAGCCATGGGACTATAACATGCATTCCTTTTCTCTTGGACTTTGCCCTAGTAGATACGTAGGATCTATGTATTTATCAGCTGACCTATTGACCAAGTACCAAGATATCCAGTAAAACACAGATCTTTCATGGTTGCCACCATCACCAACATCCATCTCCAGAACTCTTTTCATCTTATAAAACTGAAACTCTATACCCATTAAACAACCACTCTCCATTGTCTCCTTCCCCCCAGCCCCTGGCAACCACTATTCTACTTTCTTTTTTTTTTTTTATTATTATTATTATTTTTAATTTTTTGTTTATTGCAGTAACATTGGTTTATAACAGTGTATAAATTTCAGGTGTACATCATTATACTTCTATTTCTGCATAGATTACATCACGTTCACCACCCAAATACTAATTACAGCCCATCACCACACACATGTGCCGAATTATCCCTTTCGCCCTCCTCCCTCTTCCCTTCCCCTCTGGTAACCACCAATCCAACCTCTGTCTCTGTGTGTTTGTTTATTGTTGTTATTATCTACTACTTAATGAAGGAAATCATACAGTATTTGACCTTCTCACTCTGACTTATTTCACTTTGCATAATACCCTCAATGTCCATCCATGTTGTCACAAATGACTGGATTTCATCATTTCTTACAGCTGAGTAGTATTCCATTGTGTATATATACTACTTTCTGTCTCTATGATTTTGACCACTCTAAGTACCTCATGTAAGAGGAGTCACACAGTATTTGTCTTTTTGTGACTGGCTTATTTCCCTTAGCATAATGTCCTCAAGGTATACGCATGCTGGTAACATATGTCAGAATTTCCCACTTTTTTAAGGCTGAATAATATTCCATTGTATGTATATGCTACATTTTGTGTTTTTGTTTGTTTGTTTGTTTTTTTTAAAGATTTTATTTATTTTTTGCCCCCAAAGCCCCAGTAGATAGTTGTATGTCACAGCTGCACACCCTTCTAGTTGCTGTATGTGGGACTCGGCCTCAGGATGGACAGAGAAGTGGTGCCTCGATGCGCACCCGGGATCCGAACCCGGGCCGCCAGCATCGCAGCGCGCGCACTTAACCACCAAGCCACAGGGCCGGTCCATACATTTTGCTTATCCATTCATCCATTGATGGACACTTGGGTTACTTCCACCTCTTGGCTATTGTGAATAGTGGTGCTATGAATACGGGTGCACAAATATCTCTTTGAGGCCCTGCTTTCAATTCTTTTGTGTATATACCCAGAAGTGGAATTGCTAGATCATATGGTAATTCTATTTTTAATTTTGAGTAACCGCCATACCGTTTCCCACAGGGGCTGTACCATTTTACATTCCTGCCAATAGTGCACAGGGGTTCCAATTTCTCTACCGACACTTGTTATTTTACTTTGTTTTTTTGACAGCAGCCATCTAACGAGTGTGAAGTGGTCACTCAGTTATTCTTATTTCCTTTTTGTAGATGACAGAACAGAAGCACTGAAAGGTTAAACAAAGGCTCACAATCATTAAGCGTCAGAGCTGGAATTTGAACTCACGTGAACTGACTCACTGTTAACCAATATGTTAAATTCTTGTGAGGCACAAGTTCCAAATCTCTCAAGGAGAAGATAGAGGGGTTCAACTGCTAGCACTCACCAAATAAAGGGCAAAAGAATCAGCAGCAAGTTAAATTTATCTTTCTCCTGATAATCTTCTCCCAACCCTGGGAGGTTAAACTTGCCAGGAAATTACAAAATGTTGTTCTGGGGGTAGAACATGCTTTTTTTCTCCTTAAATAAGCTTTGTTCAGAATGTCCATTTGGGACTTAGACTGGAGCTTTCTTATGCCCTAGTTTCTGCACCATCTAGTCAGGCCACCTAAACCCAGAAAATTCTCCTAAGGTTCTGTCAGCCACATACACCTCCATCATCTTTTTAGTCAGACCAGGACTCAAACACGCCTCAACTGAAAAGGGGTCCTGGCCAACTACCAAAATGCTCATGTGTTACACTTTATAGCTACATTAAAGATGTCAGGGGGCCGGCCCGCTGGTGCAAGCGGTTAGGTGTGCACGCTCCGCTGCGGCGGCCTGGGGTTCGCTGGTTCGGATCCCTGGCGCGCACCGACACACCGCTTGGCAGGCAATGCTGTGGTGGTGTCCCATATAAAGTGGAGGAAGTTGGGCACAGATGTTAGCTCAGGGCCAGTCTTCCTCAGCAAAAGAGGAGGATTGGCAGATGTTAGCACAGGGCTGATCTCATCACAAAAAAAAAAAAAAAAAAGATGTCAGCAACAGCTCGTCTCAGGAATTCCTTCCTCCAGAGCAGAGACAATGCACGAGATTTAAGAACATGGACCATAGCATCTGGCAGACCTTTAGTCCTTTGAAACTCAGCTTGTTATTTGACATAAAGTAACTCAACATTTCTGAGTTTCATATACAAATCATAAATATATATATCATACATAAATATATAAATAAATATAAATCATATATAAATCAGGGAATGACAGGACTGGAGCTGATGGATAGGAAGCACCTACATCGCAGAAGGCACTCAATAAATGCTTGGTAGTGTTATCATTTCAGTCATGATCCACGCACAACAAAATTGTGCATCATAAACACTTAGTACTGAGCAAACATTGATTATTAAGAACATATGTTCAAATGCTAGAAAAGATGCATAACGGGGTTAACGACCACAGAACAGGTGACGCACATCAATATAAGGTTACCTTTCAATGTAGATATGTAGATCTACTGTGCTGGAATCAGGCATAAGGAATCCCACCAGGAAAGTCCTAGTATTCTGAGATGTGGCACAGCCATTTCTTAAACGCAGATTATTGCACAGTAGTAAAAACTTGTACATGTTGAGTGCTTTTCTTATGTATAAATATGTAAACCATAGAAGAAAAATATCCCTGGGATTTGTATGTGTCTGTGGACACACAACCCGAGACGGTTGTTGAATCTTGAAAGCAAGCCTAGCTTATGAAGACTCGCTCTCCGAGACCCGACGGCAGCTGGGCCTCAGTCCCAGTCGAAGTGGATTTACACTGCGGCAGGACTGGCGGGCTGACGGCTTTTCTCCGGCCAGCGGCCTTGATGAAAGTTCCACTCGCGGTGCTAGGGACGCAGCCGGTGTCTGCCCCGCCCCTGCCTAGCCGAGCCAGCAGGATACGTCACTTCGCCCCGCCCCACTCGGGCCCCGCCCACAATGGTGCGGCCTGCATCTCCCATGAGCCTCTTCGGCTGCCACTCTTCGGAAAGGAAGTGGCGTCTGCACTGAGGCGGCACATAAGGTACGAATCGCCGTGGGCAGTGGCTGTTGGGACCTGGTGGGAGGCGGGACTTCCGCTCTCTCCGGTGCACGTCATCAGGAGGCGGAAGCGCAGCGGGGGCGGGAAGGTTGTAGAGCGGCATGTTGGACTCGTTTTGCAGGTCTTTAAGTGGTCGCGCCCCCTCCGAGAGCGCAGTCTGACGGCGAGGCGGTCCCAGGCACTCTCGCTTCCCCGGTAAGTAGGACGGCCTGGCGGCGGCGGGGGATAGAGGTGTGTGGCCCTGGCGCTGACCTGCTGCGGCCGTCTCTGTTGCCACAGTGCAGTGGCCTCCCTGCCTCCCTTGCCTCCCATCGTTGCTCACTCCCCGTCTCGGCCGCAGCCCCCGGCCGGCCTGCCCTCCACGCCCGCCTGCGGGGACCCTTTTGAGATGCAGGTCGAGCCCTATTACGTCCCTGCTTGACGTTCCCCTTCACAGGATGGCCGTCTTGTCCCTCCCGTCCTAACTCGGCTTCCCTTGCCCTGTGCCTCAGCTGCAGGAGACACCTAACGATATTTTGTTCAAAACCGACATCTATTTGCTAGCCCTTGTACTTTCCCGACCTCCCCTGAACGCATCCCTCATCACGTCAATGGAATCAGTTCTCCGCTTCCAGAGCACTCTTTACGCCTTTTAAAGAGCGCATTGTTAAACTTTTGTAGTGTGATTGATTGAACGAGACTATATTTTCCCACCGGATATGTTCCTTGAGGGCAGGAGTAGGGTCTTGCCCATTTGGGATCTCCCCAAGGCCTTCTAGAAAAGCGCGAAGTTTGGAAACTAACAGCCCAAGGTGTTCCTACTAGCTTTGTGACCTTGGGCACGATTTCCCCATCTATAAAATAACGAATTTCAAGGATCTTACACAGTGTATGGTGCAGAGTATGTACTCGATAAATGTTAGCCTCGTTTTCCTTTTCAGCTTTCAGTCTACACAGTAGTTGCTGGGTCTGTTTTTTAAATGAACCTAGAGGCACCATAGATGAGTGATTTTTCTTCCTAGCACTGTGATTGTATTGATGCTTATCAATTGGTTGATACATTTGGCAGTATTTGGTAAACACAGCCTAATGATGTATATTAAAGACAGTAATGCTAGGTGTTGATATCAACATCTACAAGAATAAACATTTAACCTTCACGCTGTGATTCAGTACTTGAGGCACTTGCAGAGTTGAAATTTGTGACATAAGTCTGTGTGCTTTTCAGATGTATGTTTCTGAAGAGGTGAAGAAACTGCAAACGTTTCATTGCAGGGAGGCTAGCTGTTCCTGACAACTTTTAATTTGTTATTAAAGTATGGTGCATTTCATATGTGTGTACACATATTTTTCACAGGTGATTGTAAACTGCTGACCACTCGCCGTTGAACATAGTTAAAACAGAAAATAAGAAGATGGCAGCAAACCCTTCAGGACAAGGTAATGCATACTGGAATTTCTTTTATTACTGTGAACTTTTTCGCCGTATAGTAAGGCTATTTTGATAGAACATTTAGCATAAGGCAGTTCCTGTAGCCAGAATAAAAAATGAATAGTAAAGTAAAACCGCATATTTGAAGCAAGTCCAACCTTGTATCAGATATGTAACATCCTTAATATCTATTAATCCTCTATTTTAATCTGAGTTAAGATTATTCACATTGTAAACTTTAGGTCCTCCTCTGACATCTGTGTTCTTTTGCTCTATTTGAATCAGGACCACTTTTAAAGAAGTTGTATTGTCACCAGGCAATATCCATGCCTTTATCTTCATTTGCTCCAAAAATTTCCATGCACATTTCACCTGTGTTAAGAACTCTCTTAAAGCAAATCAAGTTGGACACATCTAAAGAAGGAAGTTTTAGGGCCAGCCCTGGTGGCCTAGTGGTTGAGTTCGGCGTGCTCCGCTTTGGTGGCCCGGGTTCAGTTTCCGGGTGCGGACCTACATTGCTCTGTTAGCAGCCATGCTGTGGTGGTGGCCCACATACTAAAAAACAGAGGAAGACTGGCATGGATGTTAGCTCAAGGCAAATCTTCCTCAGCAAGAAAAAAAAGGGATTTTTATTTAAAAATAAGTTTTCCAAGTGTGGAAACACTAACTTGAATGTTTATTGCAGCATTGTTTATAATAGCAAAAAAACTGTAAGCAATCTGAAATCCAGGGATGAGGAATTTACTCAACTCTTTGGTAAATACATACTGATACCAAAGAGTACTTTATTAACATAGAAAGATGGTGATAGCTATTGTTAAGTGGGAAAAGAAGAGTTGAGAGCAATTTATAGTGTCATCCCATTTTATTTATTGAAATATATTTAATCTATCTGCATTTTTATAAGAAACCTATAACTTCTGTAATAAGAAAAAGTAAAATTTAATCTCTAGAAAGTACTAAATCTCATTTTGTAAGTAGTTTCCTGCTTAAATACTTGAAGCAAACCTCTATTTCCTTTCCATGTCAAGTCTAAACTCCTATTTGACCCATCATATTTTTTTATTACTCATATTTGTTCTGATTTTTTTTGTGTCTATGTGAGGAAGATTAGCCCTGAGCTAACATCTGTTGCCAATCCTCCTCTTTTTGCTGAGGAAGATTGGCCCTGGGCTAACATCCGTACCCATCTTCCTCTACTTTATATGGGACGCCACCACAGCATGGCTTGACAAGCAGTGCGTAGGTCCAGGCCCAGGATCTGAACCTGTGAACCCTGGGCCGCTGAAGTGGAGTGCGTGAACTTAACCACTACGCCACTGGGCCAGCCCCTCTGTTCTGATTTTTTTTAATCTTAGTTTTGTCTTATATTAAACTTCATATAAATGGAATCATAAATTGTGTACTCATTTGTATCCAGCTTCTTTCACTCACTCTACGGTCTGTGAGATTCATCCACGTTGTGGATGAATTGCGGAGTAATTGCGGAGTAATATTCCATCATATGAATTTACCACAATTTGTTTATTCATTCTCCTGTTTGGGGGCTTTGGGGTTGTCTTGAGTTTTGGCTATTGTGAATAAAGCTGCTTTGAATATTTGTAAGTCTTTTTGTAGATATTTGGATGACTATCTAGGAATGGAGCAGCTGTGTATATAGTTAACTTTATGAAAAACTGCCAAGCCTTTTCCCGAAGTGGTTGTGCCATTTTACATTCCCTCTAGCGATATGTGAGAATTCAGATTGCTCCACATATAGCGTGGTTGGTGTTTTTACTTTTAGCCATTTTAGAGGGTGTGAAGTGACATCTCATTGTGGTATTAACTTGCATTTCCCTGATGACAAATGTTGAGCACTTTTTTATGTACTTATTGACCATTGTAAATCTTCCTTTGTGAAGTGTTTGTTAAGTCTTTTGCTCATTTTTTAAAAATTGGGTCATTTCTTTTATCAAGTTGGGTTTTTTTTTAGAGTCTGGATACAGGTCCTTTATCACTGCTAATTGCATCATCTGGATCATGTTGGAGTTGGTTTCTGTTGACTGCATTTTTGTGGAGTATGGGTCACATTTTCCTTTTTCTTACTAAGTGATTTGTTATTGGATACTGAATATTCTGACTGATACTTGTAAAGACTCTGGATTCTGTTGTATTCCTCTGAAATGTGGTTTTTGTTCTAGCAGGTGGCTTGGCTCAACTCATACTCCAAACTCGTGTCTCCCTCGTGTTGGGCAGCAGCTGAAATCTCTTTTCATTCTTTTCACTTCCAGCTGCTGCTTTGCTGCTGGGCTCTCCTGGGTCTCACCCACATATGTGTAATTTAGCAGGAAGTGAAAAGTTCAGGTGGATTGTATAGGCTTGTTTTGGGCTTTGCTCCTTCTGCTTTTCCCTCTCAGGTCTCTCCCCTAATTTTCTGGCTACTCTCTGAACTCTGTCCTCTGATACCTCAAGCCAGTAAGATGAGGCTGTTCCAGCTGTTTGTGGATTGAGGAATGCCTCAGGCAAAAGGCCAGATTCCCAAATCTCACCGGCTGCAGTATCGGCCTGGTTTGGTCAGTTTCTAGTGCCTTCAAATAATGAATGTTTAATATTTTGTCCAGAACTTATAATTATATTTGCGGCAGGGTTAGTCTAACCAAACTATGCCAGTACTGGAAATTAGAAGCCCACTGAATCTGTTTTAGTATATTAGTTACATTTAGGACAAACTAAAGGTTCCATGAGTTTTACAGAAGTGTAGTATTGTAAAAAGCTAGCTGTGGTGACAGCTTTACCAGTTGTAACCAGCTAATACTGTTCTGTTCTCCTCTCACATAACCACGGGTGATATGTGTGCTCTGTAGACTAATCACAGGTCAAAATTCCCCTGGGGGTCTTGGACTTCTTCTTTTCACCAAGCTATAAAAACTCAGATTAAAAATAATTTAATTTGAACCAAAATGAAAACTAAAAGAAGTCTATTTTGGAAAGAAAATATGCTGGTAAAAATCATACAATGCAGTCCAAATGAAAATAAATTTTAAATTATCCCTCTGTTCTAATAGCACAAATAGTTGAGATTTACAATTTGCTGGTTACTTTTTTTTAGCAGTTGCAATAAAACACAGTTATTTTTAGTGTTGCCTTTGATTGATCATAGTCAAATCCACTATGAAACATCCCCTAATCTAAATAGAAGTGAATTTAGATTGGTCTTTCGGCTTTTGTTTCCCTTTTGTGATCATTTTGTTGGTGTTATGTAGCTGCTGCAATTAGGCACCAGCAGAGGGAGTCCATATCATGTTCTACAGATTCCCAGACTCAGTGAAATTTTTAAATTCTTATTTATTTGGATCTATTACATTTTACTCTCTATATTAAGTTGTTTCTGTACTGTTTATGTGATAGGGAGTACTTATTATGGAGATTGAAGGCCAAGTGCCATAATTATCTTACAATGGTAACTGAACAATGACTTAAAAAAATCTTGATTTGTGCACTGTAATTTATTTTTTTTAAACAGTTTTATTTTATTTATTTATTTTTTTGTGAGGAAGATCAGCCCTGAGCTAACATCCATGCCAATCCTCCTCTTTTTGCTGAGGAATACCGGCTCTGAGCTAACATCTATTGCCAATTTTCCTCCTTTTTTTTTCCCCAAAGCCCCAGTAGATAGTTGTATGTCATAGTTGCACATCCTTCTAGTTGCTGTATGTGGGATGCGGCCTCAGCATGGCCGGAGAAGCGGTGCATCGGTGCGCGCCCAGGATCCGAGCCCAGGCCGCCAGTAGTGGAGCGCACGCACTTAACTGCTAAGCCACGGGGCCGGCCCTGCACTGTAATTTATTAATGCCTCTGGTGTAGGGTACAGAATCCATTGTGTTCACAAAGCCCCCCTGCAGGTCTAGCAGTCCATCGTACTACAGTAGTAATCAGGACTGCTAAATTTCATAAGCTCTTGGCAGACAGTTACTGAAGTCTCATATTCTTAGCATCCATCATAGTGTGGACCATTTGGTAGGTTCTTAATAATTATTTGATGAGAAGTAACATTTTGAGAATTTTAATATGTAGAGGCAGATTGTCAAACTGGAATTTGGCCAAAGTATCATTCCTATGTAAAGAGTCTTTCATTACTGGTAACTATCAAAGTCCTGTGATCATGTGGTATCAGTTGAATTGATCCAGCCTGATTTCAGGTACACAGAGAAATCTGGTGAAATACTGTGTAAGGAAGGTGAATTCTTTGATTCTTTTATTTTATAGTTATCTCAAACGGCTTATAGTACTACTATAAGCCCTGCAGCTCAAGTGGTGAGAACTGTTGATTTGGGACCACGCTGGATGCTCTTAGCTGTGATTTCAGGCTGCTGTGTAGGAATGGGATGGCATAGCTCCTGGGAGGTGTATTACTTGACCTCAGACCCAAGTACAAGTCTTACCTAAACCATCTGTGATCCAGAAGGAAAGCAAATTTACCCTTCAGGCTTGTACTAAAGTATGCTACCTCTCAATTAAGAGTTTGTCTCAATGATGCATAAAAATCATCTTAAAATTCTAGTATTTGTACCTTTTTAAAGATGAGCGTGTGGATGCAGAGACACGATTTGGAGTAGGTTTTTTAAAGCTAGATTTCTGTTTGTCTCTCTCTCTCTTTTTTTTTTTTTTGTGAGGAAGATTGGCCCTGAGCTAACATCTGCCACTCCTCCTCTTTTTGCTGAGGAAGACTGGCCCTGGGCTAACATCCGTGCCCATCTTCCTCCACTTTATATGGGACGCCTGCCACAGCATGGCCTGACAAGTGTGGTTCGTTGGTGCGCGCCTGGGATCTGAACCGGTGAACCCCAGGCCACCACAGCGGAGTGCGCGCACTTAACCGCTTGTGCCACTGGGCCGGCCCCTCTTTTTGTCTCATCTTTAATCGCCAAGGCAAAGAGAGTGCTGGATTTGTCTGATGCTAGGATTGATGGGTAGGCCCAAGGTTCCAATAGGAATGAAACTGAGTTGAGGCAGAATATGATGTAAAGTA